TAATCCAGTATTGGCCTGGTTTGTTGATTGAATTGCCTGCATTTTCCAGGGAGTGATGAAGAGAGAGCAATTGATCCATGACACTTGTAAATTTTTCCTTGTGGCCTACTAGTATCACTAGGATTTTTCTGGCAGACTTTCAGGTGATAATATAACCCTATTACAATATGTCCCATGCTTTGCTTTCTGGTTCATTAAAAGACATGCACAAAATGTTTTCCTCATTAGCATCTAATATTACACATTAAGAGACTATAAACTGATGAAATGATAGGGGCAATGAAAGAAAATGCACATAAAATAATGTTGCTCAGTTAATAATAACAATGAAAGTGGCAAAACTCACAATGCAAGATAAAACATTTTTGAGATATTTAAAATAACATGTTTGAAGATCAACTAAATCAATTACCTAATCCTCAAAAAGAATTCTAAACACATGGCTCGTGATGCTTTGATATTCTACAGTGTACATGAGTTCTTTTTTCCAATCACACTCTTCTCTCTGTGATTTAGAGAATCACAACAACACATTCCCGTTTTTAGAAGTGGACTTTATGGAAAGGAAGAGAGTAGTTTGATACATTTTCTTTATCAAATATTAGGAAAAAAACAGATTTATATAGCAAAAATGCTAAAGGTCACGTCGGATAGAAAAAACTGAACACTTTTCATCTAGTACTTAGCATAGCACAACTGAACATATTTACATATTTTACTTTGCAATTTACCTTTATTTTAAGAATGCTATGAAAATGAATAAATTATGACAATTTTTTTTGTGTTTTTAATTCAACAAAGCATTTTTCAGTTTTCTTCACTTTCTATTATTCTATTTGACTTTTACCAGTAATCATAACAATTGTTACCCATCATTTCATATTTCTGAATATTAAACTTCAGCATTTACGCATGATTCTTGAAGACATATTATAAATAGAATGAATGGTCTCACTGTTTCCTAATGGCTTTCTGAGTTGATTTCCAGTGACTGAGCATAGCAGCATACACACAGTAAAAATGCTTCTACTGCATAAGTTGGGGTAGGGGGGATTGTTATAATTCACATACAGAAAGTTTTTGTCTAAATCTGCTCCTTTTTTTCCTTCTCCAGCTATTATCTTTTACTACTTAGACTAATTTTATGTCTTACATTTTGATCCAGAATTGTGGATGAAGGTTTCTAGCAGGAAAATAATATTATATTGTGAAAGAAAAGCAACCTGCTGGTCTAGTTTCATCAGTTGTTTTCTCCACAATGTGTGGAGGAATGTAGTCTTACTTCCAAGAAAAAACTGAAGGCCCTTTTCACTCTTCATTACTAATTTAGCTAATTAAAATTTATTTTGCTTTGTCAGAGGTAATGGCTCCCTAAGTAGCCCTTTCAATTATCTGCAACATCAAATATTTGGTTTAGGTCACACCACACAAATTGACTAAACGACATTCACATCACTAACTTCAAAGCTTTCTCCCAAAAGAATCTCATCTATCAGAACGAAATAAACTCCTTTGACATTTAGAGCATCACATTCCTTCCTTGATCAATGCTTTCCCTGAACCCCCATAGGAATTTAGATCAGTACTTTTGGCACTAAAAATATACACAAATCATCAAGGCAACAAAATATTAAAAATTTTCTTTAGTGAATCCAAATCATAAATTCCTATTACAAACTTAATGTTTCAGTGACTGAATCCTTAAATGTTCATATATCAATACTTTCATCAAATTGTAAAAAAAAAATGTAGACCCAGGTTTAGGTTCATGTACAACACTGTAATTTGTGTGTCTCTTTTACACATGGTTTTATTAGTTTACCCTTGGGTGTGTAGAAGAAAATGCCCTTTGAATACAGATTATCATTATGAATTTTAGAAGCTTTCATCTAGGAATAGCATATCCATTTTACTTTGCCAACTGCTCTTAATTAGTAAGGAGTATTGTGAGCACTGGATTGAAAAGGACTCTGGGACCACAGCAAAACTCAGTGGGAATAAATGTCATGGAAGTGTCTGTCCAAGGAGGGGGCGATGAAAAGTCGAGTCCTCCAGGTACTTTCATTCCAGACTCAGAGCACAGGCATTAGGCTTTCCCTTTTATAGGCCATTGCTTACCCAGCAGCACGCAGCATTGTCTTTTAGAAACACCAGCAGATGGTGTTGATGAAATTCCTTCTGCCTATGAACACAAAAACCCTTGCATTGTACCCTCTGGGTTGATGTGGCATTCATTTTTTCCTTAATTAAACTATCATTGTTAGGAAACTTCAAAGAATAGTCTAAAAGCAAAGGTTTCCTCAAGGAGGGCCTCTATGTGAACTCTAGGAGAAGCAATGAGCAGAATCATCAGCCTCCTGCAAAGTTATAAATTAAAGAATCAGTATGCTATCAAGTGGCAAAGAGCAGAAAAGGGAAGTCATGGACTAAATAATCTACTAGCTTTTCTTTTGAACGGAATGACAATGACATACATTGCAAATACACTAGTCCTCTATTTTTTAGTTAGTATTATTTTAATAAAAAATTGGCTAGTGATAGATAAATTGTGCCTTACAAAATTATATCATGTGCTCTATGAAGTATGACTTAGAATCTACCCTTAGCCAGTGAATATTAGTAACACATGAGAACTACTTTTGAGGCTAGAAGGAAAAATTTGTACTTTCTTCATGAATTATTGCCTCATTCAAAGTGTTCCTGCTCTATATAGTTTTTATTTTTAGCAATCTTCTCTAAAATAGTCTTTTAAATTGTCCTTAGATGCACTTCCAACTACTCCCCTGGGAGACATTAATACTTTCCTTATCACGATGCCTAGTGTACTCTACAAAGTCTGCCATTAAAGCAATTATCACACATTATTGCAATTGCTTGATTACATTACAACCTGCTCCACTGGACCCCAGGTTCTTAAAGACAGGAATTGTTTCTTAATCAATCATCTGATCCTCGGTATATGAAATACTGTTTTTCACAGGATATGCCATTAATGAACCCATTTGAATGTGTAAATGTCTTCCTGAGTCTTATTGCTTAGAAGAAAAGGTGAGGGTGGCAGACTAATGTTAAATAAGCAATATATTTCTAAATCCAGAACTGACACTTTTCTGATAGATGAGAACCCATAGAGGTTACAGGGAAAATCAAAGGAAATAAGTCTGCAGGGACCTAGGAAACAAATGTAGGGAAGGTCTACACTTTGGAAGAAGAGTTTAACCCAGAAATAAAATAACTATGACAAAATAGAGGTTAAGTGTTGGCTCTAGGGTTACACTTGGACACAGAGATATTTTGTCTGTATTGATTTCATATAATTTTTGGAGGGTGGGTATGTTAAGAGGAGCTAAACAAAAATGGTATGATAGAGCTAACATAACTTACTTGGCATGTGCCTATTTGTACTATTTCTATTATAGCTTTCTGGAACCAGAAAGAATGATTCAAACCAGGGTCCCTAATGTATACCATTTACTCTTGGGAGATTTTCATGTTGCTACACATCTTGTGAGCAGAGATACTATCAGACTGTTTTTTCAAAGGTGTTTTCATTTAAAATAGTCTAGAAGGATATAAAAAGTGTTTTCCACCATAGCAAAGGTCAAATTTTGTTTACAGCCATGTGAGATAAAGTGTTACCTTCCAAAACAAAGAGTGGATGGGCTTGCTACTTATAAAAGGCTCAGCTTCCTAAATTCAGGATTTATCTCCTGTTGTATGTGTGCAGATATCACACAATTTCCATATCATTCTGTGAGAATTGGGTATTTGGTACAAATTTTGATACTTTGGCTCTTGGTACGTACTGCTGTGAATAACAAACTACCCTTTATTTCTCACCTAAGAGTCTTGTATCTTTCATCACTATGAAAGTACAGCAAAGAAACTTGTTAACTTGCAAGTAGAGTAAAATCTGAATCTTTTAGTTCCTATGTTTACTATCTGCTAAATCTTAATTATTTCTAAATATCTGTATTTCAGTTTCCTTCTGTGAAATTTAAGAAATAATGCTTCCAAATTTCTTGCCACATTTTAATGTTAGAATAATAGCTAAGAGTAGTTGTCATACCAATTTCAGCAGTAGCAGTAGCAGCAGCAGTAGCAACAACAGCAATGAGGATAACAATAGTAGAAGCAGCAACCATGGATGGACCCAGTTTTGCAGAAAAATATCACTGTATAGCAGATATTTCACTAAGTGTCAAGTATAGACTTTCTTTTTAACTTATAACAAATGGATCAGATCTTTCTCTCTCTTTCTCTCTCTCTCTCTCATTGACTAGAGATAAATGAGAATAGAATTGCTGATAAGATTTGCCTGAGGTAATTCACATGCTAATAGACAAAGGTGGAATAAGAAGTTAGCTGTGTTGCTTTCCATGGGTTACTTGCATGCATTTGAAGCCACTCGTTTGGGGTAAAACTAGTAATTTGTATGTGCAGTTGAACATTTCACATTCCATCCATAGAGGAATTACAGAAATACATGTCAAAAGATAGATGAGATACAACACATCAAGAAAGAGATCCCAGAGAAGAAACAATGCTGATCTCCAGAATTTCTGTGGGAGAGATTCACCTATGTATTTATTAATGGTTTGTATGTCTACTTTCCCGGTTCTGTGATTTGAGCCTTTGCCCACATTATTAATTCTGTATTTTCCCTATGGCATAAATAATTTTATAGTTTAAAAACTAACTATCCAGTACTATTAGTGTCACAAATTCTCAAGCTAAATACTCTACCAGAAATTTTTAACAGATTCAGTTATCTACTCAGTATTTGTTAGTGAGAGCAAAATTATGGTTTTGACAATGTGTACTTATCACACAGTACTAAATATGCAATATGTATGTATATACATATATATGTATCCTTTATATTCCATACATGGAATAGACACAAATAATTTTTAAGAATACAAGCTGATTGAAACTCCTACTTTTGACATGTTTTCATTTTCTCAAATTTTCAATAAGTACAAAATATATATTTTTACCTCTACATATGGGAACAGGAAAATCCCATGAAGCTGTATTCATTGAGTTGGCTATGCAGGTAAGTTGAGGGTGGCCATCGAGAATATATCCAGTTACACAGCTGTAGCGGATCTTGTCCCCAACATCAAACTTTGTGCCATATAGTACACCTTTGGGTGGAACTCCTGGATTCCCACAAGAGCTGCTCTGCAATTCTATAAAAGAGAAGAAAAATGAGAATTTAGAGTTATTTTAATATATGTTTTAAAATTATAGCTATATGTAGATATGGATATCATTTTTTCTGTGGAGAAGAGTCACAGATAAGAAATGTCTTCTGTTTTCATCATGTAACAGTGAAGTACGAAAATGGAAATAAATTTTAATGCATAGGTAATACATTTCATTATTTCTGAAAGAAAATTTTTTATGTTTTATATTAGTGTCCATAACAAGCTTTGAACTCATTGTTACTCCTATTTTACACATAAGTAAAACTGAGATTAATACTTCTTACATGTATTCTTTAACATAATATTCTAATAACTAGTAATCAGCAAATCCATTTTCATTATTATGCTCCTCTGTGTCTTGATTTTTCTGCTTAATTCTAGGTTATGAGTACTTATCTAGAAAAAAAACACATTTTGGCTAAAAGTGTTTTGTATAAATAAGGAATATATAGGGAAGTGGAATAAGAAAAATTTTTTAAGTTAACAGAACTGGACTAGAATTCTAGTTCTATGTTTGTTTAACCTTTATGCATAATAAGAATTAATAGTAATAAACACACAGTTGTGATATCTTAACTTGAACAATATACAAAAATGTATGATCATGAAACTTTACCTAGTGCTGTCTTATTATTTGATGCCTATAGGTAAACAAGTATACAAATATTAGAGATTTTCTAAAGGTAATATTCATTTTAGAAGATAGTTAATTTAACTTTATATTTAAAAATGGAAATATATACATACATACATATATATCAGAACTTACAGAATAAGTGGAGGAATAAGTTTACCATATTTTAAACTATTATATTGCCATTGTATTGCCTTTATACTATAAACATGAATTAATAAAACAAAAGGCAATAAACTGATGGAATGAATGGAAATATTCAAATTCGGGTAAAGTCTATAGTTAATAGGATTATATAAGTGTTAATTCTGACTTGTGACAGTTGTACTATGGTTTTAAAACTAGTTAATGTTAAGGCAAGCTAATTAAGAGAATATGAGAACTGTGTTGTTTTTGCAAATATTTTAAAAAACAATAAATAAGGTTATCCTGCAAAATTTAAATATGATCCCATTTTGTCTTTATAGTCATCCCATTATGCAGCTAGTAAGTTCCAAGCAATCTCATATGTTAAACCAAATATTTTCTTTTTTTTTTCTTTTATTTTCATTTTATTGCTGTGCTCGGTAAGGGAACATTGTGGCATTTACAAAGGTTCTTGCAATATATTAAATACATCATACTTGAACTCATGCTCTCCACCATTCTCCTTCATCCCCCCTAACCCCCTAACCCATGATGTTACACTTGGATTCTTTTTCCCATTTTACATTCATGTGTACACAGTATTTCCACCATATTCACCCTTTTACACCCTTTCTTCACTTCCTTTCCCCTCCCACTGGTATCAACACCCCCCTTCCCCCCATAGGACCAGTTCTGCCCTCCTGTTTTCTAGTTTTGTAAAGGAAATGACAGTTTTGCTTAACATAGCTACACAGGGAGTTTCCTTGTGGCACCTCCATGTATATACATATTATAGCCTGATTTGGTTCATTTTCTCTAGTTTTCTTTCTATTTTAGTCCCTTTATTATGGTTGTTTTAACCTGTTTTAAAACTCTATTCATTTTGTATAATGAGTTTATCAGCCATATTCACATTAAGTTCCTTCTTTTATCCTCCCCTCTCTCATGTGTGACCTCCCCTTAGTTTGACCTGTTTTTCATAATATTACTGCATTTGTTTTAGGTTTATAATTCACATATGAGGGAGAAAATGTGGTCTTTGGCATTCTGAACCTGGTTAATTTTGCTTAAGATGATGTTCTCCAGTTCTATCCATTTACCTGCAAAGGACAAAATTTCATTCTTCTTTGTGGTTGAGTAAGTTCTGATGTATATAAATTGTACATTTTCTTAATACATTCACGAATAGTGGCTCATCTTGGCTGTTTCCATAGCTTAGCTATTGTGAATAGTACTGCAATAAACATGGGTGTGCAGGTGACTTGTTATAGCCTGACTTACATTCCTTCAGGTATATCCCAAAGAGTGGAATTGCTGGATTCTATTTTGAGGAGCTTCCATACTGTATTCCATAAATTAAATATTTTAAACCACTGTAATATTGAAAATATCTATATCAATAATGAGCAAAAATTTAAAAATATAAGATAATTCATAATTTGCAGCTATAACGTTTTAAAAGCCATTAATTTTGTACATAGGAATTATGCACAAAGATTAAGTTAATATCTCTTTATAATGGACTTCCAGTATTTTGGGAAGTGTTTTTAAACTTATATCAATTTGCTTATAAAGTGTCCAATGCTCATGAAGGAAAGAAATCACAGATTAATTTTCAATATCAGGTCATTTTAATTGATGGAAAAAATACTGAGGACAGGATAGCCACAAAAATTATGATGTGTTTTAAAGATAAAATATTTACTTTGAGTTTATAATTGTTTTGAGGTTTCTTGAACCTAGAAAGGTGAGGAATTTTATTCACATTTCCTAAATATTATTTATACTCTGTAAATATTATTTATAATCTATAGGTAATGGACGATTCCTTAATAATATCTCATAAGCTAATATTTGAAAAATATTTAAAATATCTAAGGCTAATTATTTTTAATATTTTATTTCCAATTTCTCCCAGACATATGCTGTATGTATATTTCAAACAAAATTTAAATTTATTGTCTGTTCATTTTTCTTTTGTCTTTTAATTTTTAACAAAATTTTTAATGCTTTAAATTAAAGTAGTTCATTTTGAAGTACTTCATTTTTTGAAAAGTTCATGTGATTAGAAATGAAATATTTTCTATAATAGATGGTGAGGTTAATAAGCTTTGATAAAATGCAAAACAATTCAATCCTTTGAACAAAGTAATAGCAAAGGAAATACTTTTAATGAAACTACCACTTTTGCCCTTATAACCAAACCTATCTTCTCCCTTCTACCCTCTAAAAAATAATTAAGGTCAAGACTTCAATTACCATAAAGTTATACATCTAGGAGAAAAATAGTTTTCCAATTATTTCACTGGAAGCAGTTAAATGGGGAAATGAAAGAGAAAAAATTTCTAAATAGCTTTTATAATAAGATTTAACTTATATTTAAATGAAGATGTACACATTATCCGTAACAAAGTACCTGAAGGAAAAAATGTAAAGCATGTCAAGTGAAACAGCAAGTGATTAATAACATCGGATGTAATCTGAATCGATTATCTGATCTCCTGGCTTGTGGCTGAGTAATTTCTAAACCTATAGACTTTTGATCAATTTATGAAGGCTGTTTCAATATGAAACTCAAAGAAAAGAATCTCAAAACATGTCCGATCCTCACCTTCAGGAAATCTCTGCTTTCGCTTGCCCTTATTTATCACCATCATAAATAACAGCATCTGCCTACCATGTTCTGTCGATTGAGGGAAGGTAGTTAAGACATTTCACATTCAGGTTTAATTGTTTCTGACTCTATAGTCATTTGTTCAGAGATTCTATTTTTTGTCCATTCTCAGTCTTTTAATTTGGGACTGTCCTCTCAGCTGTTTATATCCATTTTAAGATGCAGAGATAATTCTGATGTATTATTAACTGAAGAATTATATAACCTATATAACCTGCCATCAAAATGACTATATTCTGATTGAATATCACTTTTTAATTTTTTAAAAATAAATAGTGCTCCTAATTGAGCTGTTGAATCACATTAACTTTTACTTAATAAAAGAGTCTTTGAAATAGTTATATTATTCTAACTTTTAGGCATTTCTATCAGCCATCAAGACTTTGAATAATGTACATGTAATTTGTCAAGTGTATGTGCAAGATATTCACATAAGGCTTGCTATCCCAATTTGTTGATAAAAATAATTACACCTGGAATTATCAGCAGAATTGCCAAATAACACTTTTGACACTTTTTGATCACTTTTGACAGCAAATGACATTAGCAAATTAATCAAAATATTTAGGTAAAATAAAACAATAATTAAACCTAAAATACATTGTAGTAGTACAGTGGAGAATATTTTAGATTATTTTCATTGCATATTCAGTTGACCTTGGATTTTGTAAAATCAAACATAAAAATAAAAGAAATTTCTACATGCTCCAGCCTCATTTGAGTTCTATTCTCAGAATGTATGCAATGAGGTCATGTTCACTATGACACAGAAATACTTAGAGTTGTCAGCCTGCTGAATTGAGAACATTCCTGAAAAATAAATCAGAAGACTTTGCACTCAAAATGTCTGAGAGGTTTTTTTTTTTGTCTTTTCTTTTTTGGTGCTGGGATTGAACCCAGGGCCTCACGCATGCTAGGGCACTCAAAATGTCTGAAAATGTCAGAGACTTTTTATGTTAAGTTTACTGTTCTATCCATAACATACAATTGAACCAAACAAATATTTATCTATTTTCATATGAATTGAGATATATTTTATTTTTCATTTCTTCTCATAGATAGTGAAATCATCACCAAATAATGTGAAGGAATTTTGCCAATATAAACTATCATAAACTGAAAAGAGTTTCTGATATAACAAAATAATACACTGGAAGAGATCCAAGGTGAGTGTTAATGTCCAATTTCAGTACTGAGGATAGAGTTTAATGACATTTTTTTACATTAGTTTAAAATGTATATATAAGGATAAATTATTTGGTAAGCAGCACAAATTAATTTATTCATCCGAAGTTCTTAAGGCTCTCAATGGTACCATTAATATTGCTGTATGATGTGTACCAATAAAGGCAACACCACCTCTCTTGCTCTCTAAGTTAACAATTTGAGAAATCCATTTGTGCTGTTGGGTATCAGCACTCAGAAATACTCTGTTCTAAACTCAATTAGTTTTAATTAAGAGGAGATCTGAAGTGGATATTCTGCTGCAATAAGGTTTAAATTCTGATCTGTAATAAGGATAAAAATGTAGAGTAAAAAATTGAAAGG